CCACCTTCCTGCCTGCCGGTACACTCCTGCGACCTTGAAACCTTATTTATGACCTCACTACTCTCAACCTCCTGTACACTGGAGCTACAATTCAGGTTCCCATCCCCCTGTTGAATTCGTTTAAACCCTCCCGAAGAGCATTAGCAAATTTCCCCCCCAGGATATTGGTACCCCTCTGGTTCAGGTGTAGACCATCCCATTTGTAGAGGTCCCACCTACCCCAGAATGAGCCCCAATTACCCAGGTATCTGAATCTCTCCCTCCTGCACTATCCCTGTAGCCACGTGTTCAACTGCTCTCTCTCCCTATTCCTCGCCTCGCTAGCACGTGGCACGGGTAACAAACCAGAGATAACAACTCTGTTTGTTCTAGCTCTAAGCTTCCACCCTAGCTGTGAAACTGTGTATCTATTGCTATCATATTCTTCCATCACCTCACCTGGCAGCATGTTCCAGGCATTTACTTCCCTCTGTGTAAAAAACTTCACTCTACCCCTCACCTTAAACTTATGCCACCTAGTATTTGGCATTTCCACTCTGGGAGAGAGACTCTGACTATCCACCTTTTTCATGCCTCTCATAATTTTATATACTTCTGTGAGGTCACCCCTCAGCCTCTGACTCTCTAGTGAAAACAATCCAAGTTTGTCCAAACTCTCCTTCTAGCTAATACACTCCAATCCAGGCAACATGCTGGTAAACCTCTTCTGCATCCTCACCAAAGCATCCACATCCTTTCTGTAATGTGGCGACCAGAAATGCATCCAACACTTCATATGTGGCCTAACTAAATGTTTTATACAGCTGCAACATGACTTGTTAACTTGCCCCGCCCAATGAAGGTAAGTATGCCATACATCTTCCTTACCATCTTATCCATGTGTGTTACCACTTTCAGGAAGCTATGGACTGGCACACCAAGTGGATTGTTTTATTCTGAAACTGATAAAGTATATAATTGGCCATATCAATAACTACATAAAACATTTAACTTAAATGTAGTGATTAATGGAGTGGGGGACCAGAGAGAGTCTACTTCTGCAGCCTCACTGGTAAAATGAAAAGCCTACACATTTCCAGTAAATCTCTGCAGCCTGTCCAGTGTCTCCATTGTCTTATGTAATGTGGACACTGGAAATGTTCACAGTGTTGTTTAACCAGGTTTCGGTGTATGGTTTAGTGTATTGTGGGCTGACATTTGAATTCTATAAATCTAAGCAATTAGCAGGGTTCCATATAATCTCAGCATGTACGTACAGACTGTTTCCTGAAGGTATTGTCGGTGCTGACGTTAATGACAAATAGGAACCATTGATGCTGATAGTGGTTTATTCAATGTTTCTGAAGATTACAGTATCTCAGGTTTTTACATAAACCTCACACTCACAGAGAGTTAGTATCCCACGTTCTTTCAGGATGATGTTGATGAATCGACCAACCATTCCATGACAGTTTAGGACTTTAGTTTCTCCTGCTCTGAGGCCTGTAATAGTTCCACATCTGCAAAACACGTCATTAAAATAAGCCCATTAGAAAGCTGGATTGTCTGGACAGAGCGGCTCCCAGGTTCTACATTCTAACTAACTCCAGGCACAGCTACAGTAGTGGGATTTGAATCTGTGACCACAGCACTAACCTGGATAACTAGTCCAGGGACATCACCTCTACACCCCAGCCTCTCCCTGATCTGTGATTCACTGCAGGCTTGTCCAGTCTGATACAGCAACCCTGTGTCTGTGACGATTCCCTTGCCATGTCTCCCATTCACTGGTTCTGGTTCAAATCAGAAACCTGATTTAAGCAGCAATTTGGCCCTCACATACATTTTCACTGCATCAAAGATTAATGAAATCTTACTGGAGCTGTACAAGATGCTGGTGAGACTACATCTGGATTACTGTGAGCAGTTTTAATCCCCTTATTTAAGGAAAGACATCATTTCATTGGAGACAGTTCACAGAAGGATCACAACGATGATCCCTGGTATGGCGGGACTGTCTTTGAGCAAAGGCTAAACAAATTGGGACTCTACTCACTGGAGTTTAGAAGAATGAAAGGTGATCTCATTGAAATATAAAGGATTCTTAAGGGGCTTGACAGGGTAAATGCTGAGATGATGTTTCCCTCTTGAGAGAGTCTAAGACCAGGGGGCATAGTACAAGAATAAAAGGTGCCAATTGAAGACTGAGATGAGGAGGAATTTCTTCGGTCAGAGAGTTGAGTCTTTGAAATTCCTTGCCACAGAGAGCTGTAGGGGCAGAGTCCTTGTCTATATTTAAGGCTGAGATCAACAGATTCTTGATCAGTCAGGAAATCAAGGGTCATGGGGAAAGGGCAGGAAAGAGGACATGAGGAATGTTCGATCAGCCATGATCCTATTGAATGGTGGAGGAGGCTCGAGGGGCCAAATGGCCTACTCCTGTTCCTATTTTGAATGGTCTGACTGTCTAACACACACTGTTCTTTCAGCCAGCCAATGCATTGTCTAGGCTGGGTGCAGTGAGCCAGGAGATTACCCAGCTTTGTACCAGCCTCAGGAGTGAAACACAATCTGTTAAACCATCATATGTAGGAGCATAATTAGGCCATTCAGCCCGTTGAGTTTGCTTAGCCATACGCTCAGTGACTTGGCCTCCATAGCCCTCTGTGGCAATGAGTTCCATAGATTCACCACCCTCTGGCTGAAGAAATTCCTCCCCATTTCAGTTCTAAAGGGTCGTCCCTTCACTCTGAGGCTGTTCCCTTGGGTCCCAGTCTCTCCGACCAGTGGAAACATCTTCTCCACGTCCACTCTATCCAGGCTTCTCAGTATTCTGTAAGAGATTCTTAATGAGATCACTCCTCATCCTTCCAAACTCCATCGACTACAGACCCAGAGTCCTCATCTGCTCCTTGATGTTGGTTTTGATTTCCCAAAAGGATTCACATAGCTGACTCCTTGGAGAAATGCACAGTGAGGTGTGTATGGAATTAAAGAACAGTTCACCCAGATGAAGGGTCTCGGTGTTGCTGGTCACACTGAGCGAAGGTAAACTCCTATTGTAAGGGACGAGAGGGCCAACTAACTGGGATTAGGAACTGTGAAAATATCCAGCAGAAGATTCTAAATATTTAACACTTGCCTTCAGATTTTAAATTAACTAGGTTAAAATCGCACCAATCAGAATCCCAGATCCCTCTCTGGTTTAGCACATTCCCATGAAGTTTCCGTGTTTGCAGTGTGTACATTTCCCTCTTTGTAGCGTATCTGATTGTATCATCTCCTTCCCTTGTTCTTGCTTTCCCACAAACTCCCAATGAGAGATCAAGCATCAGGATCTCTTTGTTGATCCTCTGAATCCACCTGATCCTCTCCCTCAGCTGTGTTTACCTCTGCCCAGTAGTCTCATTTTCTCAGTTGGAATCTCTAGGCTAGAAACAGAACACAGAAAGTTGGAGATACTCACCAGGTCAGGCAGTATCTGTCAAGAGAAACAGGAGTTAACCTTTCCACATGAACTGCTTCTCATCACAGACACTGTCTGACCTGCTGAGGAGAGTTTTGTTTGGATTTCCCTGTTTCTAGCTGTTGCAGTAAGCTGGATTAGTGAGAGTGTTTGGTATATTTACATTGGGTTATCGTTGCCATGGTTGTAGAAGGAAAGTCCAACACGGACCTCAGCGTTTTTCAGGCGGTTCCAGCAGCAATCCTGCCTGTTTGTGATCTTTATTGACAACACCTCAACAGCATTGAATAGATCGAGGCTCCACCAAGGTTTATCATCAGTGTTAGTGTGAGTGCAGGACTGGTTCCTATAGAAGGCATTTCGATTTCCATCGATGGCTTTGTTCGCATCTCCTCCCCAGTTGGTACTTGATTGAGTTGCATTCCCTCTGAGAGCCACGTTCCCTGTAAATACAAAGAGACAACCTAAATGTGGGCAGCATGGTGGCTCAGTGGTTAGCACTGCTACCTCACAGCGCCAGGGAACCAGGTTCGATTCTACCCTCGGGCGACTGTCTGTGTGGAGTTTGCACATTCTCCCTGTGTCTGCGTGGGTTTCCTCCGGGTGCTCCGGTTTCCTCCCACAGTCCAAAGATGTGCAGGTTAGGGTGGATTGGCCATGCTAAATTGTTCAGGGATGTGTAGATTAGGGGGATGGGTCTGGGCGGGATGCTGTGTGTGTCAGTGTGGACTTGTTGGGCCGAAGGGCCTGTTTCCACACTGTAGAGGTTCTATGATTCTATGATCTAGGTTCTGACAGTGAACCTTCCTTGTTGTGGAAAGTTGCAATTGTGTCCAGAATCAGAGAAAGGAGGCCATTTGGCCCATTGTATCTGCTCTGACTGTCCAACTGAGCATCATTATCTAGTGCCAATCTTTTCCCTCATACCCTTGCGCATCACTTCTAACCAAATAACCATCGAATGTCCTTCTTAAAATGCCTCAATTGAATCTGCCTCCACCACGTTCCCAGGCAGTGCATTCTACTCCATAACCACTTGCTGTGTGAGAAAAAGCTTTGCCTCACATCACCCTTACTTCTTTCGCACATCACTTTATGGTCTGTGGCAATGGAGAGTAAAATAACAGAATGAGGTTTAGACATTATCTTGTTATATGATTCTAAAATTCTAATATGCAGGGGCCTGGTTCTGAGGGAGGGTCACCGGACCTGCAACGTTAACTATGATTTTTCCTTCATAGATGCTGCTAGACCTACTGAGCTTTTCCAGCAACTTCTGTTTTTGTTCCTGATTTACAGCATCCACAGTTCTTTTGGTTTCACTTTGTTAAATGCCTTCTGTTCCCACATCTTAGGGTTTTAATGGTCATTACGTAAGGCACAGCCTGATCAGAGAAAGTCAGGATGGGTTTACAAAAGGGAAATTCCTTTAAACAAATTTATTTGAGCTTTTTCACAGTGTAACTAGTAAAAGACAGTAAATATTGGGGACCCAGTAGATGTAATGTTGCTGGATTTTCAAGTCCATTCAAAAAGGTACGACACAATAATCATAGAAACATGGAAAATGCTAACAAGAGGAGGCTTTTTGGCCCTTTCAGCCTGCTCCACCATTCAATACGATCATTACTGATCATCCAATTCAGTCCCCTGTTCCCACTTTCTCCTCCTACTTTTTGATCCCTTTAACCTTGAGTAATGTAAGAACATGAAAAGTCAATAGACAAGTTCATCAGGTTAAGGGTAACGTATCAGTGTGGATCAAGGATTCGTTCATGGACAGGAAGTAGAGAATTGGCATAAGTGGCTTGTGTTTTGTTAGCAGGATGTGACCAATGGAGGACCAAAGGATTAGTGCTGGAGTTTCAGCTATTTATGATCAACATTAATGACTTACAGGAAGAAACACATTTAATTGTGTTTACTATATTTGCTATTGACACAAAGCTGGTTGGGAATGGAAGCTGTAAGGAGGATACAAAGAGACATAGATGGGCATCAAGGTGCAATTGGAGTGTAATGTGGGGCAATGTGATGTTATTCACTTTGTTCGTCGGAAAAACATGAAACTTGTGAAGGGTAGTAAGAGCTGCCCATGCTGGAGTCAGAGATAACACAGTGTGAAGCTGGAGGAACACAGCAGGCCAGGCAGCATCAGAGGAGCAGGGAAGTTGACGTTTCGGGTCAGGACCCTTCTTCAGAAAATCTTCAGATTGTTCTGAAGAAGGGTCCCAACCCAAAACGTCAACTTTCCTGTTCTACACTGTGTTAAACTTGTAAAGGGTGATGTTTAGAGAGACTAGGGTGTGCTGATACAGGGAACACAAAGTTAACTTGCTAATTAGGAAGGCATGTTGCACGTTGAGTTTTATTGCAAAGTGATTGGAGTACAAGAATGAAGAAGTTGCTATAATTGTACAGGGTTTTGGTGAGATCGCACCCAGATTATTTGTGCAGTCTTGGTTTCCTTGTTTACAGAATGATGTATTTGAATTGAAACAAAAGAGGTTCACATCAGCTCCTACAATGTACAATCGTCGTTAAACGAGGTGGTCAGTGAATTGGATCAGTACACTCTGGGAGAATGAGAGGTGATCTCATTTAAATATAAAGGGGTCTGATAGGATTCGCCCTCAGACTGTTGCCCCCACGTTGGAGGATCTAGAACAGGGGGGCACAGATAAGGAGCTCATATTTCAGACTGCGATGATGAGACATTTCTTCACGCAAAAGGTTGTAGATGCTTGGAATTATCTTCCCCCCTGAAGGAATCAAAGGACACGAATCCTACATGCCCCTCTAGGATGGGCTAAGTTGCTCTTGTGGGGAGGCAGAAAAGTCTCAGTGGGCTGAATGGCCTCCTATGTGCATTAACTGTTGTTTGGGAAAGAGGTGAAAAAGTGTAGTGGCAAATCACTTTGGATCAGATGGAATGGGGAAGGAAGCTTAATTTCCGACTTTCATACACTCCAGGAGTGAGAGCTGGGGGAAGCACACACTACAGGAAGGAGCAGATTCTAAACGACAAAGATTTTACTCTTACCACATGCCAGGGTCCCCACACCACAGCAAGCCACCAACACAATCACAGAGATCATCTTCACCCTGTTGGAATGGAAGAGCAGACATCATCATTCTTGCTCAATGTCATTATTTCATGGAGTGAGCTCCTATATTTTATCAGGCTCAGAACCTTAAATCCACTTTCTGATTTCAGGTAATTTTCTATTCATCAAATTAAGGGGCATTTCAAGCACTGTTTACAAATAAGCCAGGGGAAGCCCTGGTATAACCAGAGAATTATAGAACGTTCCAGCACACATAGGCAGAGGGCATTTAACAAATTGTCTCAATATTGGTTAAAGAGAAACCATTCAGCTTGATCCCATCGTCCAACACTTTCTAGATGTGTGGGTTACAACATTCCAGTTCATATCCCAGATTTGTCATTCTGATGAGGGTTTTCATTCCTGCACCCTTTCAGCATAACAATTAGGAACAGGAGGAGGCCGTTTAGCCCTTCAGGCCTGCTCCACCATTCAGTATGATCATGGATTATTATCTCCAACCCACTGTCCTGACTGCCCTGTGTTGGGAACATGTATCCTGGTGGATGATGAGAACGGGAAAATGGGTATGTTTGATTTGGACATTACTGGGCATGGACATTATCAGGTATGGACATTACCCGTTTTAGATATTACCAAGTTTGGGTATTACTGGATACAGGCATTACCAACATAGGCATTACCGCGTTCAAACATTACCGGGTTTGAATATTATTACATTACAAAGGATTTATCATTTGATAGTTGGAAACTAAGAGCCAAAAGGCTAAAGGAGACTGGTCTATTTTCTGTTTATATAAACATATATATGACATTAGAGAGCACTGTCCAACAGAGTTTTTGAGAGAGATAAGGGCAGAGTTTTATTGCTGTGATGGTTTAAGCAGCATTCCTACACCCTAATGGACCCTCGTGAGGGTTCTTAGAGATTGGGAATAAAAACAGAAGTTGCTGGAAAAGCTCAGCAGGTCTCGCAGCTTCTGTGAAGGAAAAAACAGAGTTAATGTTTCGGGTCCGGTGACCCTTCCTCAGAGGTCGTATTCCAGCAACTTTGTTTTTGTTCCTGATTTACAGCATTTGCAGTTCCTTTTGGTTTTTCTTAGAGACTGGCACATGCCAAATGCTGATGTCTGTGGATGGTGTGCAGGAATGTGCCCTTCATTCATTTATAAAATATCTTTGGATTTTCCTTGATATCGCCCAGTTTTCCTTCATGACCTTTCTCTTTTCTTTCAGAATTTCCTTTCAATTGAATCCTTGCATTTTCTGTATTCTTTCAGCACTCACTATCTGACAGAAACCTCCCTTTATAGCCCTGTCTAACAAACTCTGTCTCTGAATAAGGTTTCAAGGTCGCAGGAGTGTACCGGCAGGCAGGAAGGTGG